ATGGGAATTACAAAAAGACTCCGTGATCTGAACTGTATCTCAGACCAGCATTGTTGAAATGCAGAGTGCTGCTGTTTTTCTCATCAGTAGTTAGTTTTCATGGCTGATTGATCAGGCAATTAGTGTACATTGGCGGTTAGATTCCTATTAGGGACTCCTTCTATTGCTTCCCATCCAATACCTCTCTTTCCACTCTTGCTTCTACCCAGGTTTAGGCTATTGTTATTTTGCTAGACCCACTGACAAGCCTAGTGGTAGGCACCGTTCGCTATTAGTTCAGCTATGGCTTAATTTTAACTTAGATAACGAAAAGGTCATTGTTTTAAGCTACGGGATGATAGAGTTAAAACAGAGATGAGGAGAAATTATTTCTCTCAAAGGCTCGTGAGTCTGTGCAAGTCACTATCCAAGAATGCAGTGGATGTTGTAAGGAGAAGATGGACAGATTTTTAATTAGTAATGGGTTGAATGATTGTGGGGACTGGGCAGGAAAGATGGAGTTGAGGCTGAGATGAGGTCAGCCATGCTTGTATTGAACGAAACATGCTCAAGAGGCTGAATGGCTTACTCCTGTTCCCAGTTCCGTATGATTAGCAAGCTCCTCCTTTCAAACACGTTTGTTAGAACAGGGCGTCATGAATTTTCCAAATGAGCTCTTTCTTCTCTTTTTCTCCCCTACGTTGGGCCAATTCAGGTAAGACCCCCAGACTCTTTCAATCTTGTGGAAGGTGCTGACTGTGTTTGGGGCGTATCTCTGCATCTTCCAGGAGCTCCCCAATGCCCATCCCAACATGCTGTCCTGCTGATCATTTAATGTGAGCCCAGGCAGTGAAGATGAACATTCCAGTGAAAGCAAAATACTTCAGATGCCAGAAAGCAAAATACTTCAGATGCCAGAAATCCAAAATAAAAACAGAAAATGCTTGAGAAACTCAGCAGGCCTGGCAGCCTTTGTAGAGAGAGTAATAGAGTGAATACTTTGATTCTAGTATGGCTCTTCCTCAGCAGAATCATACCAGATATGAAGCATTAACTCTGTTTCTCTCTCCACAGAAAGCTGCCAGATTCAATTCCACCAGTACGCTAGGGAGGGGTTTGAACCCATGTTTCCTCTGAATATTAAACTGCTCCTCCAGATTGCTAGTCACGGTGACATTGCCACTCAAACAGCTGAGCCCCAACACAATCTGCTGCTGCTACTGCTCTGGTTATCCTGAGTAACTGGAGTGTTTCTGCCCTGCGTTTTAGGGTTGACCAAGTGGATCGTGCCTCAATGGGCAGGTACCTCTCACAATTCAGATTATTTGTTTCAGATTTCCAGCATCCGCAGAATTTTGATTTTATTCAAGCACTGACTTCATATTGGATAGACAGAGATTAGTTATATGCTCCTCTCACCCACTTGGTGCCCTGTTAGGTTTAGTGGTAATGTTACTGGTCTACTAACCTAGAGACATAATTTTGGGCCATTCAAATCTCACTGCAGGAGCTCAATGATTGAATTCAGTTAATAAATCTGGAATTGATAGCTAGACTCAGATCATCATAAAACCAACCTGTTTAAGGAGGAAGGAAATCTACTATCTTACCTGGTCTACAATATAACTGAATCTGAACTGGATTGGCAAGTCACTTAGTCAAAAATGAATTAGGGACGTGCAACAAATTATGTCCTTGCCAGTGATAGAATCAGAGAATTGTTATAGTGCAAAAGAAGGCCAGTCAGCCCATTGTACCTGCACCAGTTCTATTCCCCAGTGCCAACCTTATGCCTTTTCCACACATTCCTGCATGCCATTTCCTATCCACTTCCCATGAAAGAATACATGTTTTTAAAAGAAGTGGTTAGGGACAGCGATGGGTTTTCCTGCCACTTTCTGCTCCCTCTCTTGAAGCTGAGTGGGCTTGGGAACAAGGATAGACTGCCCTGATACAAAACCTGAACTCTAACTCCTGGTGACGTCTTCCCCAAGCCTACAACTCCAGCTCACTTGGGTATAAGAGTAGATGGCTTACAAATTCTGTAAACAGACGAAGCAATGTAAACTGAACTTAAAAGTGGAAATTATCACTGAGGGAAAAAGGGAAAAGAAAAATGAGGCCCTTTTGTCAACTGTCTAAGACCAAGAACATCTGCAATAAGTCAAACCAACAGACACATTAATCAGTGTCCCTTTTTTTTAACATTCCTAAGCAAATGCATCTAAAGTTCCTGTGTTGCCCAACCCACATTAGATTACAACTGCTTGCAGCATGATAGTATATATTACCAGTCACACCCTAAAGGTCAAAGAAGCCACTTTATTTACATACAGTGCATGTTTTGATAAACAAAGCAAAGAATGCAGACAACAGCTATTGAATCAAGGATCGAAAGCCTTGCTGGGATTATCCCACAGAGTGCCTGGAGAAAAATCTCTACTTGTGCAGTTTTCAAAAATAATGCCCGGTGGAACTCCTGTGGCTTTCATTCTGGGTAGTCTGCAATAAGGTTCAGATATCTGATATTCACCCTCCCCCCATTCAGAATTGCTTGTGGGAAGTAGCTCCCATAGTGATGGACCATGAATTCAAGAGGCAAGGCCAAGGGTAATAGCGACTATGTTTGTTTTCAATTTCAGACTGAAACTTGTAACACTTTTGTGCTTCACGTACCATTTCCCTCCTCATCCATGTTATCACTGAAGAAAAGAATGGCAGTATGTGCCTATTTCCCCCATCAACCCTGTGCTCACTGACGCACACAGAGTCCCATTCA